AAAGAAGAGGAGGTCCCAGAGGCTTTGCGGTTCTTCTCGAATTGACCTCCGAGCATAAAGCCAGCTAAACCGATTTAAATCGATGCGGCTCGATGCAAACGAATAGAGATCGAGGCGAATCTAGAGATCAGAGAAAGCTGGATAGATCATGCAAGATCCAGCGCAGGTCGAAGGACAGCAGAAGCAGCTACGGTCAGGAACGTTTGCTTCGCGTGTCGCGCCGCCGGTTCTGGCCCACCACGCTTCGGCGCGACGCGTTATCCACGCCCCACTCCCCAAGCGTCAACGCCTCGCGTCTTTCCCAGCCTCCCGCCCCGCGGAGTGCAGCGACACGCCACCCGGTGGCAGGGCACAGAGTGCCACCCGGGCAGCCAGCGCTGCTTGCTGCGCAGAATTTCCCCGACCGTGAGCCCTGCAGGGTGCGGGGTCGAGCCCTGCACGCGGTCGGGGTCGGCGGGAGGCTTTCTTCGACGAGCCCCTGGACCTGTCCGCCGCGCTGCTGGCGGGGGGCGGGCAGCTGGCCAAACAGCTGGTATCCGTGCTGCGGGGGGAGCCGCAGCTGCGCGACTTCGTGTGGCCTGGGCACTCCAAGGGATCTCTGCCTACTCCTCCTCCCCCTCCTCCTCCTCCTCCTCCTCCTCCTCCTCCTCCTCCTCCTCCTCCTCCTCCTCTCTCCTTGCTTTCTTCCTCCTGCTCCTCCGCCTCCTCCTGCTGCTCCTCCTCCTCCTCTTCCTCTTCCTGACTTCTGTGCTTCGCCTCGGGTGTATCTCCTGAATGGCCTTCGAGGTTGGCGAAACAATCCTAACCAGTCCTCCCACTTCTCTTCGTCCCCTCCTCCTCCTCCTCCTCCTTCTCCTCCTCCTCCTCTTCTCCGTCTCCTTCTGCAGCTCTTCTAACCAGTCTTCTTCTGTCCTTATCCAGCTCCTCCGTCTCTGGAGGCTGGTCTGGAAGATCAGTGGACCGGGGGGATGAGAAAGTGGAAGAGCAGGACCATGGAAACGTCCCTCACCAGGGCCCCCGCGGATGTTTGCTGCAGCATCTATACCAGGGTTTCTGCCAATGTGCCACTGTCTATCCCCTCGTTTCCCTCTCCCTGCTGCTGTGCTCTCTGCTGAGCGCCACGTCCTCCACCGCCTCTTGCGTCTCCCCCCGAACTCATTCGCGTTAGCTGCTTTTGTTAGCATCGGAAACTGGCTCCCCTCTGCAACCCCCTCCCCGTTCTTCACAACCGCTGCTGTAGCGGCATGGCGGACAGCACACCGTTTTTTGTAGGCGGGGTCAGTGGAGGGGTAGAGGGCCGCTTTAGCGCAGCTGCGAGAACATGCTTGGGTGCATGGGCAACTCCTGGCTTTCATCAGAGGGGCCCTCTCGCCTGAGTGGTGGAGGAATCGTGCCAGCATGGCCGAGTACTTTTGGGTCGCCATGTTCCACTCCTCCCATGGGTATCCCCGAGCCCGCCTGGCAAGAATGCGTGGCCGCAGCCAATGTGGAGCTCCGTGCTGCCAGACGGCACGGCCGTTGCCCCCGCCCACAGCGAGTGCTGGCTCGGTCGCTCTGGATCTCATGCCTTCCCTCTTTCGTCGTCGCATTTACTCATGGCTCCTCCACCCACTCACCCAGCTCCTAGACGATGAGATCAGGCAGCGATGCGCAGCGCTCCTGGGCACGGGCACACCTTGAGACGTTGGCTGGTGCCTGGACCACCTCAGCTCGGCTCCTGGTTATTGCTCAGAGGCACCGGTTGTTCGGATGCGTGCCTCCAGCACGTGACGAGCTCAGCTACTACATTTCATGCCCCGGCTTGCTTCACCTGCTTGCGCTCCCTCGTGGCCATTTGCCCGCCTCCCCCATCACTCGCCTCGGGCTTGGCATGGAACCAGATTCATCGCGGGAGTATCCCCGTGCCCGTCTGCATCTGATTAATGTCTTGGCGTTTCACATACATAACAAGCTCCAGGCAGAGGATGATGTGCGAGGGAGCGTTCCCAGCACACCCGCATTTCACCACACTATTCTGGCAGCTGCGAAGACCGCCATTGGTCTCTAGCTCGCCGCCGCGCCGTGCCACAAACTCATTGAGCACGATCGCTCCTACTCCTTCTGTTTCTTCTCCTCTCTTTTCTTTTTCCCAGAGGTCTCTAAGGAAAGAGGCGGGAGGACGAGGAGGGGGGACAGGATAAGGGGGAGGATTGGTTGGCACGAGGAGCACGTGCGACCCCTGGACCCCAGACCGCCCCGACACGACATCCAGCTGCGTTCGGTCGATTCCGAGACGGCCCAGGTTGGGGGTCCAGATAGACACGTAAGGAGGAGTAGGAGGAGGAGGAGGAGGAGGAGGAGGAGGAGGGGGAGGAGGAGGAGGAGGGGGAGGAAGAGGAGGAAGAGGACTAGAGCTGCGCTGCCACGGGCTGGGTGGTTGCAGTAGTGCGCCTCATCGACGAAGCGTGGGATGTCCGGCCTCTCGCTATGTCGAGATCGTAATGCGCTACAGCAGCATCTTCGTTTCATGTCGAGGCCCCAGCACTGGAGGAGTGCACGCTTTTCGCGCAGAGGTTCTGACGGGTGCACGCGGTGGCGAAAGCGGTACATGCGCCGCCCGCTTCTGAGCAGTAACGGGGCATCTCTGCAAGCAACGGTGACAGACAGCTGATCCCAGAGGGGTCCTAAGTTCTGCGAACAGAACAGACTAAACCACCACGCATGATTGATACTACTGGACGCACCCTCCCGATCCAAGTCCCAAGTCCCCTCTCCCAAGCCAACGCACGTATTATTTTTCACTATGGCGAGCCCTCGGTGGTTTGACGAGGATGCCATAGATTTGCCACATGTTGGTGTCGAATGGTGATGCTCTGGTGGCCCTGTCAGAGGCTTGGGATTTAGGAACTCTGGAAGAGGCGGAATACGATGGGCGCATGAATGATCCAGGCCTCTCAACTGGAATCGAAGTACATCGGGTCGGGCGATCGCGACGCATCGCCGATGCATCGGCGATGCGGCGCGATCTGAAGCCCGATCTGATCCATCCCGCCGTCGCCGACGCACCGCCGACACATCGGGGATGCGGTGAGACGCCGCCTACTTCGAACCCACTCAGGAGGCCTCCAAATGTGCAGGACTGACATGGTGAGAACGCCATCAGCTCGCCGTGGCTGGAAAAGCCCACTCGCTCAAGAGCCAGCGCCTTCCCATGGAAGCACGACGACGGTACAGCCACCGTCAGCGGCCAGGCAGGGACCGCCTGGCATGGAGAGATGCACACCGGGATCGAAAGAGGGTCGCCCTGCATACGCGCAGATCGTACAGAGTTTGGGGGACGTGTGTTCGGCGCCGAAGGGAGATGCCGAATTCAAGTAAGCAGCAGACACCGAGGTTCCCATACAATTCGTCGTGCTTCTCGCGCGCTCCTTCTTGCGCGTCCCACGCCTGCATGCGAGTCCTGAGTATGTACGAGGGGCTGCCCGTGAGCATTCCTGCCCGTGGTCGCCAGGACGTGAGCGGGCCAGAGCGGGACGAGCTCGAGCGCGTGCTGCTGCACACGAGCGCGTCTGGGCATGGGCGGACTGGAGAGTGCACCTGCGCCGGAGCATCCGCCGCGGGGGGAAATCCCGCACTTCCAGCGCAGGCGAGGCCCGCGCCCGGTAGGGCCCGCGTCCGCCCCGCCCCCCTTCTGCGAGGGCGGTGCCCGCCCCTGCCATGAGGGGGAGGAGGAGGAGGAGGAGGAGGAGGAGGAGGAGGAGGAGGAGGAGGAGGAGGAGGAGGAGGAG